GAAGCATTTTCCTTCCAAAGAAGCTCTCAGGTTACTGCAGGGGCAAAAAAACAGATAAAGCTTAATGTTGCTCCGGGGCAGAAGAGTAGAGGAGCATTGCTTAAAGAAAGGCTTCTTTGGGGACAAGTCACTCCGCCAACACATGAAGGAACCACGGAAAACGTTAGAGTTAGAACAGCTGCACGTGAGTTCACACAAGGGGCCCAGAAGTGGCCCTCCGGCGACTGCCTGCTCCCCTGTCCTCCTAGTACAGTCCTAACCCTTTCCCAACTGGTGCTGGCAGCAGTTAAGAAACCACCTCCTTCCAAAGCCAGCTGTCTTGCGCCTGCGCATTCAAGCAAAGCGCTCATAGAAGGCGGGAGGGAGGGCGTTACCGGAAGTGTGACCTCTCGCTCCCCGCAGCCTATTCTCATCCGGGGTCACGTCGATCTTCCGGGTGTCTTTGACAGGGTTCTCTACGCCGCTTTTTCTGCGACTTTTTGGTCTTCCGCTTTTTGCCACCGCCCCCAACCTTCTAAATCCTTGCGGCCCCTGTCTTTTATTGTGTTACTCCTCCCCTGGCAGCTGTGCCGGGGGTTAGATCGCAGGCAGGGTCGGAGCTGGGCCTAGCTGCCCCACGGGCCACCACTACCTCCCTTGGTTCGAGAGAAAGCTACGACCGAGTACGCCCAGCCGTCCCAGCTCGGGCCTTGGAACTTCTGAGCGGGCAGTGCGGGTAGGCCCTGCTTAGTCCTTCCCGGAGGACACCTGTGAGTTTAGGGGGTTTCGGAGAGGAACGCAGCGGTGTAGGCCCAGGTCGGGGGCGGGGCGCGGGAAACTTTCCGAAACGGTAGCGTTTTGTTTCGCGTGGGAGGTTCCGGCAGTATCTCTTGGTTATTCCAAGTTTATGGGCGGCCCCTGGGCTGCTTGTACATTTTGAAGAATCTTAGGACCGCTTACTTTGCTTACTCGTTTTTCTCGTTCTCGCGTACTCCCTCGTCCACCACTCCAGGACCAAAAGAGGAAGATAGTCTTGGGACCCCTGCATGGTGTTTCAAAGGGTGGTAAAGAACTAAGGTAAATAGCTGGATTAATTAAAAAATCTAAAAGGCATTTATCTTTTAAGGCTTAATTAAATGGCATGAAATTGCCTCAGCTTTTCACTTATAGGAAAATGCACAGGTTAAGACTGTTGTGTACGTTTCTTTTCTTGTTCAGCCTTTGTAGAAAGGCTTTTCGTGTCTCAAGGTGAGAACACGAAAGGCTTATGTGTCTCACAACTTATGGATTCTCTAAATTACTTGTCTTATGTCTTTCAACTCTTTGTTTAAGATAGCAGATGTTTTTCATTAGGGTGAACAGAGAAGAAACAAAGGGAAACTGTAAAACACAATCTTAATAACAAATGTGCAGTGTATGATTTTGTGAGGAGAGAGATTGTAACTGATCACTAACTCTGTGTTTTTATATTACAGGTAACATACTTAACTTTTGTAAATACCTTCATATTGTATGGTTCAGTACCACAAGGCTTCCAACACGTACTGATTAACAGCCATAAGGCTATTAATTTATACTGATTAATAGCCAGTAATAGTGACGTTACTTTGTTGGTGTGAATAGCCCTAATTATGCCTGAAAATGTCTTGTAACAAACTCCATGTGAAACAGGCCATTTATGAGTTGTTTAAGAAATGCCCGTTTGGAGCCATGTGACTAGATTACTTTTTGAAGACTTGGGTGTAATTCAATTCTTAGCCAAAGGGAATATCCTGTTCAAAACCTGGAAGTGGTTTTCACAGTGGGTTGGTAGGATTTAGGAATTGGATTTTTCGTATTGTGGAGAAAAGAAGTGGGTTTGAGGGATCAAAGATATTTGTACAAAATGGACAGTATCTTGGTTTAGCCAGTACAGTTCTGGTTTTTATACTAGGTATATTCTGCTTTTCAAAGAATCTGATGAAGGAATTATATATAACCTTGAGTGTTCTCTAATTTGTTGGAGGAGAGGTCAAGTTGAGGACAGAAATTCCAGGTTGCAAATTACAGGACCAAATACTTTATCACTAGAAATTACTAGGAATTAATCTACTTTTTTTTTTTTTTTTTAAGACGGAGTCTTGATCTTGTCACCCAGGCTGGAGTGCAGTGGCACGATCTCGGCTCACTGCAGCCTCCGCCTCCTGGGTTCAAGTGATTTTCCTGCCTCAGCCTGCCGAGTAGCTGGGATTATAGGTGCCCACCACCATGCCCAGCTGATTTTTGTATTTTGTAGTAGAGACGGGGTTTCACCATGTTGGCCAGGCTGGTCTCAAACACCTGACCTCAGGTTGATCCATCCGCCTCGACCTCCCCAAATGCTGGGATTACAGGCGTGAGCCATGGTGCCCGGCGGAATTAATCTACTCTTTTACTGCCTTGTTTCACGTAAACCTGTGTAATCTCCCATTGGGTCCACCTTAGGAAACAGTCTTTAAGGTTTTCTCCATAAGGCAAATACAGTATACTATTTTATGGTCAAGTACAGATTGTGGAACTGATAACTTTTAAGGTAAGGAAAATTGGATATTGCCAATATCTGGATTTTATGTATCTCTCATAAAATTTGTCACATGGAAGATGGTAGAAGACCACAGTTAATATGGAGTAATGTTTTATATAACGAATCCCTACTTAGGAAACCTTTCATTCAGAGTATGAAGAAAATGAAGATTTAAAATTTTGTGGAGGTCCCCTTATTTCTGTTATAGTAATAGTTTTACTGTATTTTATTTTGTGAAACTACATTCTGTTTAAAAAATGATTATGTTGTTTATGATAGATAATTGTTTTGATGTCATTTTTATTTTCATCAAAATCAATGTGAAATATATTAGAAAAAAGAAATAGAAATTCATGGGCGTTTCGTTTACTTCTT